CAGTGAGGGAAAAGTGCCTCTTGTGAGTAGGTGGCTGAGGGAAAGGTGCCCCCCCCAAGAGGAAGCAGGCCCTGCAGGTGCACCACTGGGCACTAAGCCAGGGGCTGGACTTCAGCCCTGTGCCCTCCTTGTCTGGCGCTCTGGGACAGGCTGGTGGCTGTGGCAACACGGCATGCCAGTGAGCGTCGTGTGCTGTCACGTGCCTGAGCCGGCCTCTGCTCACCCATGTGGCTCGCTGATTGCTGCAGTAAGATTCCCCTGCTGGTAACTGTCTGCAGATTTCTCTTCCGTCCTCATCAGGGTGAATCACAGCATTGCAGTGTTGCTGTCAATCTCACTCCCTTCCCCTCCAGCTGGAAGTTTGCTCATGTTTCTCCGAAAACACGTAACAGATTCTCCCCTACCCACCCTGCTAGGAGGCCTCTGCTTCTGCCCTCCTTGCCAGCCCACCCACCCCTGCTCAGGCTGGGGACAACTGTGCCCACTCACAGAGCCAAAGCCCTAGAGCCCAGACCATCAGACACATCTCAGGAGCTCTCTTCCTCATGGCGGGTCCTGAGAGCAGTCCCCAGACGCCTCCACCTCACGGTCCGCTTCCAGACCCCGACATGGGCCACGCTGGTGCTACAGGGCAGGACTTGCTCCGTGTGCCCAGGCTGCTCACCCCGTGTCTCTGGCCCCAGCAACAAGCCTCGTGGCCCCTCTGGAGGCTTCGAGAAGCGCCCGGTTTTCCCCAGCCATACACCGACTGCCCAGGGAAGCCCCCTCGCAGAGGGCAAGGGAGGCTCCAGCAGCCAGGAGGTGGGGCTGCTCTTGGAGCACAGGCAGATGAGCCGGAGCTGGGGCGCACGGGCATCTCCCCAGAGGCAAGTCACGGTCAGCCCTGGGCGTCCCGCTGAGGCCTGCGCTATGCCTCCCTGTCCAGTACCCGAAGCCCAGCAGAGCTCCCAGCGGGCTGCATACGGCAGGGGCGCTCGGTCTCTGCTGCTCTCCTTGGTCCCTCACGGGTCAGGGCTGCTCAGCCAGGGAGAAGGCTCTTCCCACCTCCTTTGGGCCCTCTTGCCCATCCAAGGTTCTCATCACCCTTCAACCTTGGGCTGGCTGGGCTCTGACCTGCAGTGGGCCTCCAGCACCGGACATATGCATGAGCCTATGGGAAACCCAGCAAGTTGGCTGGACAGTGGCAGGCACAGCCCAGGGCCAGAGGGGACCTCCCAGAGCACTGAGACTGGGGTCTCTGAGGATGGGTAGCCGCCTCTGGGTGCTGGTGTGAGAACAGAGGCCAATTCCTGCACATCCCCCAACCACACAACACGTCAGCGCCATGGAAACCGGTTATGTGCTAGGCCGGCCAAGTGAGAACGGGCCCCTCTGTCGCCAGGGTTACCGTTTCAGGCACACATTGTGGCTGCAGGAATGCAAGCCACGTGGCAATGAGGATTATGGACAAGGGTCTGCTGGAGTTACTCCTGCACTAATGTCCACATGGGCCTTCCCGTCTGGGCCTGGAGTCCCATGGCCACCGCTCCCCCGCCGGCACATGGCTGCTGAGGTTGCTTTTGTAGACAGCTCCACACTTGTTCAAGTTCAAACCTTTGCACGTGACTTAGAGAGTCTGCACTGGGAACAGTCGGGGAACAATCCTGACCTTGCCTGGGCACCAGTACCCACAGGACCCCTAGCTACCCAGAGTTACCGAGCAAGAATGAGCAGTCAGATTAACACCCTACCTGAGGCCAGTGCTGTGGCACAGCAGGTTAATGCCCTGGCCTGAAGCACCAGCAACACATATGGGTGCTGGTTCGAGACCCAGCTGCTCCACTTCCGATTCAGCTCTCTGCTGTGGCCTGGGAAAGCAGTAGAAGATGGCCCAAGTCCTTGGGCACCCACGTGGGAGACCCAGAAGAAGCTCTTGGCTCCTGGCTCCTGGCTTCGGATCGGCGCAGCTCTGGCCACTGTGGCCAACTGGGGAGTGAACCATCGAACAGAAGACTTCTCTCTCTCTCTCTCTCTCTGCCTCTCCTCTCTCTGTGTAACTCTGACTTTCAAATAAATAAATAAATCTTAAAAAAGCACCCTACCTAATACACCGACAAGGTCAACCTCAGCTTTTCATACTGGGCAATGACATAAACAATGGGATTTCAGAGGATTTCAGTGGATCATGCATACTGATGTAACATATGAGGTCTTGTCTAGCCTATGCCTGCTACTCCATGTAACTGAAGAACACATGCACACACTGAGCTCAACACAGCCAGAGCCAGCAGACGCCTTCCTATCCAACTCCTTGTTACCTTCAGAAGGAAAGAGCTGACCTGAATCCCTTCCCTTACCCTGAGGAAAGTCAGCTTAAACAGAACAGCCATGCCCTGGGCTAAGGCAGAGAGGAAGAGTGAAGAGGGGAGAGGGGCGGGCCAAGCAGCTTTGTCCCCAAGGCAGAGGGGCTTGGTGAGGAAGAGGATCCTCTACACTCTATGCCAAACTGAACATCTGCCCAAGACTTGAAGGCCTTCGCCGGGCAACCCTGGGGTCTCTAAGATAGAGCAGCAGTCTCCATCCAGGGAGGGGACACTGCTGGCCCTCCAGGAGCAGGTAGCAGCTGCTGGAGCCTGGACATGGCTGAGCTTTGCCCTTGAGGTACTCAGTGTCTCCCACCCTGGCCTGCATTCTGCCTCCCACATGGGGAAGGCACTGGGCCATCCTCTGCAGAGACAGATCTCCCTTCTAGGGTGGCATCTGCATTCAATTCTCCAAGAATTGAACTCCCCAGCCCCACCATGTGTCCCCCCGGGGCCCAGCTGTGAGGCACCTGTTTCAACGGACCCAGGAGCAGGGACAGAAAACGGCTAGACAGTCTCTCAGAACCCAGGAGCACTGGGTCAGGCCCTAAGTGGACACTGAAATCCACTGATGCACAAGTCCTCCACATACGTGGTATTTGTATGCAACATATTCTCACTTTTATCACCAAGACACCTACAGCGCCTGACATAAAGCCCACCCACTGCTTCCTGTGTGTACATTGAACACAGCACTGGGTGCACATGAAGTCCAAGTTTTGCCTTTTGGAACTTTCTGGAATTTGACTTTTGACTATTTCCCATCCATGGCTTGGCTGTATCCATGGGAACTGGCAAATGCGGAACGGTAGGTGCAGAACTTGTGAATGCAGGAACAGGCTAATTGTATCCCTGTTGAATGTGGGTGAAAATTTGAATTTTAACCCGAAGACATCTAGAACGTAGCTTGGAAATCTGTGCTCCCTTCAGGGAGCGGGGTGAACACTAGGTAAGTCACACATTTTTTTTTAGCTTGGTTGGTCACGGCACAGCTTTTGTAGCCGGCACCAGGCAAAGTCCAAATGTGCTGACTTGAGTAGGCGAGCATGCACCAGACTGTTAAGTGGCGAGTTAGAAATGAGCCTGTGTGTGTGTGTGTGTGGGTGTGGGTGTGTGTGTGTGAGGGGCCTGAGGAAGCAGTGTCTGCAGGAACTCCCCTTGGAAGCAGCCCCGCAGCTACACTGCGAAGTCCTGCCCAGACCCTGATAACCTTCCCGGTGGTCCCAGCTCGCAGGACAGTCCTCTCTCCTCAGCACCAGATGGTTACCTGGCCTCATGACATCCAGCAACAAAACCTCCCCAGCCTTCCTCCGAGGCAGGCACCCTAGAGGAGGCTCCTCCCCTGCCTGGTGCCAGGTGGGCTCCCCAGTCTGCTAATATGGAGCAGTAAATCTGGGAGGGACTTCCTAATTTACACTCAGCAAACCTTTGTCCTGGAGGAGAAGGGGGAGGGGTAAAGGGAGTCAGTGGAAGAATGAGGTCAATTCCCTTAAAAACCGGGGGTCTGAACACGGACTGCGCGCTCAGCTCTCTGCTCTCTGCTGAGCCTCCCGCCTGGCTCCCCAGGAGTAGTATTCTCTCCATTCAGCCATGTAACCTCACTTTCCCCCAGTCTGAGTGACTGGGCTCTCTCTCTCTCTCTCTCTCTCTCTCTCTCTCTCTCTCTGTCCCCCTTCTGTTCTGATGGATGCCCTGTCCCCAGTACACCCTGCTACGTTGCTCTCTGTCTCACATCTGAATTCTTTCTTGTGCAAAGACAAGAACCCTGCTACTCATCTCCGCTAACACTTGCAGGAAACCCTCAGAAGCTTGGCAAGTTACTTTTGCAAAGGGCACTCTTAGGCTGGAAATGCATTGCATTCTGCAGCCGGGCCTGTGCGCCTCTCTGCCCTGCCCTGGTCGGTGGAACTTTCCATCCTCGCTGTTCTGATTGCCAACTTGTACGCTTCACCCCCGAAACACTCGGTCAGGGGCCAAACGAGGGCAGAAAGCAGTCTAAGTGCGAATTTTTAAACAGCAGGATTTTTAAACAGGATGTGCATCTCACTTCCGGTCCAGGACTCATCTGGCTCTGTTTGGGGACGGTGTGCGTGCACCTGGCGTGCCCTGGGAGGGCAGCTGCGGGGATAAATACTGAGTCCTTCTGCCCCGAGCTCCCCCGGCCCTCACTGCTCCGCCAGCTCCTCCCCACCCCAGACCTTCTCAGGGGCCTGTGTGCCATGCTAAGGCAGGCTCTTTCCTGACAGTCCAAGGCTGAACATTACTCCAGCTTCCTGCTGATGCAGACCCTGGGGGGCAATGGTGACGGCTCAAGTAATTGGGTTCCTGCCACCCACGTAGATCTGGATTGCATATCCAGCACCCAGCTTTTCACCTGGCCACTGTGAGCATTTAGGGAGTGAACCCAAGGATGTGAGCTCTCAGTCTCTCTCTCTCTCTCTCTCTCTCTCTCTGTCATCTCTCAAAAATAATAATAATAGAGGACCTTCTAGATTTCGGCTCCCTAACTCCGCTCTCAGCAGTACCGCCACACCCACATCTCACTACACGGACCAGCCAGGACCACATGGAAGAACCCAGCAGAATCCTCACACAGTCTGGCATGGGGTGGGGGAGGGGTGAAGGCGCGGGCACCCCAACAAACCAAGGATAGCTCACACGTTGAGGGGGAGCTGGACTTTGGGAGATGTGCTGTGCTCTCCAGCCACGGTGGCGGCTCGAGGGACGGCCGAGGGGGCGGGTCCAGCCGAGGAGGAATCCTGGAAAAACAGATAAGAGACAGCAGTGAGGAGATGGGAAGAGAAACACAAGGCCAGGGAGACAGCAGCTGCCCGGCCTCACCCTCCCAGCGCCCAGGTGTGCCTGCCTGCCATGTCGGTGAGGCCGCCTGGTGGCCGGACACCTGCCCCCAAAGCAGCTTTCCAAAGTCCCTTCCTGGTAGCTCGGAAAACACCCTCCAGCCCAAATCTGGGCTGCTCGGCCCTGCCCCGCAGTCAGCATGGGAGGCTCAGCTTTCTTTTTAGAACTTAAATTATTCTGTTAAAGAAAATCCAGGGCCGGTGCCCTGGCTCACTTGGTTAATCCTCCACCTGTGGCACCAGCATCCCATATGGGCGCCAGTTCTAGTCCCAGCTGCTCCTCTTCCAGGCCAGCTCTCTGCTGTGGCCAGGGAGTGCAGTGGAGGATGGCCCAAGTGCTTGGGCCCTGCACCCCATGGGAGACCAGGAGAAACACCTGGCTCCTGGCTTCATATAGGCACAGCTCCAGCCGTTGCGGCCATTTTGGGGGGGTGAACCAAAGGAAGGAAGACCTTTCTCTCTCTCTTTCTCTCTCACTGTCTATAACTCTACCTGTCCAAAAAAAAAAAAAAAAAAAAATCCAGACAAAAACCTTGCATGCTACGAAGCGTGAGCTTATTAAAAACTGGCTTCTCCAGAAACCGAAGATTAACCTCAGAATAAAACTGGTGTTTTGGCCATGGACGGCGGTGACTGTGGGGTGATCAGCATATCCTACCCACAGCTCCTTGGGCTCAAAGCCTCAGGGGTCCTCATGCTGGAAGGTTCTGGAGGGAGGGTCTCATCTGAGGGTGCTTTCTAAGCAGAGGTGTGTGCAGAGCACTCTGGAAAGTTAAGGGGACCCGAGGAATCTGGGTGTATGATGGTCTTGCCAAGGACAGTGCTGCATGGGTAACCCTTAGACCCAGCCCATCAAGACCACGTCACCCTCAGCTACCCTCCCCACCCAGCTCGCCCGCTCTCCTGCCTTCCTCTTCAGATGTGGGCCGGATGCTTGGACATACCCAAGTCTCAGGCCCTGGCACCTGGGAGCGCAGACTCAGTTGCAATTTTTGCAGACACAGTATAAGGTGAGGACTTTTGATGAGAGCAAGCCCTAAGCCCAAGGACCAGGAAGGAGAACCGAGACACACAGACCGGACAGACGGCTGTGTGACAATGAAGACAGAGACTGTGGAGCTGCACCCAGGACTGCCAGTGTTAGTAACATGGCACGGTCTTATCCGTGGCATCATCTCTGCCCTGGACACCCTCCTAGGCTCTGGCCCCTGCCGCCATTGCTGGAAGCCAGGTGACCAAATGGCCCAACCACAGGTGTCAGCTCCACCCCCACCCTAACGGGATTCGCTGCTCCCCTACAAAAGTATAACAGCACCTGCTTCCCACACACATGCTCTCCCTCCTGATCTCTCTCTAGACCCACCCCGCCCCTTCTTCACCCCTTCCCTCTGGCCTGTCGGATTTCCCCCATCAAGAAACCCTTTCCCCCACCTCCAGTGTTCGGTGTGTCTTATGGTGGCCTTACAGCCAGAAACCAGCAGAGAGGAGGAAGCACCCTGCCAACACTTCGATTGGACTCCTGGCCTCCAGACACAGTACCTTCCGTGCTCTGAGTCACCCAGCTGGTGGAACAGCATCATAGCCCCAGGAAGTCAATACAGAGGGGGATGTCAGGTGCCTGGGGAGAACACAGGGGGCCAGGGTCTCCTTGCTGCCTGGAGGGGCCCTTCCAGGCCCCTAACAAGGCTCAGGGGAGGGACCCCGGCAGACACCAGAGGCAGCTGATCAGGGGCCAGGCTGCCGGCACCTTGGCAGAAGGTAGGTGAGGACAGGATGCTCACCGCTCTGGCTGGGGAAGGTGCATGTATCACGCACGGGGTGTGGGTCCTCAGGTGGGCAGGGGCCACTAGAAACAGATAGCACAAAAATGGGAGGAGAGAGCTCCCTGGAAGGCACCCAGGCAGATGGCCCTGTGCTTGACTGGCCTCACCCCTGCCCCCTAGCTGAGTGAGTGGGGAGGAAGCCTTTCTCGTGCACCGGCTGACCAGTTCTGGCCTTGCTCAGTAAGTGGACACTATGGCTGCAGGCCACCTCCCCATCCAGCCCTGGGAGGCCACAGACCAAACGTGGCAAAGGAGCAGCCACCCCCAAGTCAGACCTTCCACCGCCCACCCTGTTTGGACTACGCTGAGCCTGGCGGAGGGAGATGGAGACAGCCGCAGCCCCTCTTGTCTCCATGGAAATGCCAAGTCACCAAGAGCTGCCCCTTGCAAACCCGTGGTTTCCAAAGGTTACGGACACAGCCAGGGCCAGGCAGAAGGGGCCATGTCCATGCACCGAGACCAGGCCACAGCGCACCTTGGGTGGTGCACAGCAAACAGGCAGCCCCAGGCTCATACACGCAGGACACTCAGCCCCCGGGCATGGTGAGTATGAGAGTTTTGGAGGCTGCTGGCGGGAACAGCAGCAGTGATGGTAATGACCACGCTTGCCGTCGGTGGCTGTTTGTCCAGCATCCTCTTACAAACCGAGGACGCCGAGGTGCAGGGAAGTTGAGTGACAGGACCACACACACACAGCACACGCAAGGACCCGCAGGGCTGTCTCGGCGACCAGGTACACAGAACCAATGGATGACAGTGACCCTCTTGGAGCCCTGAAATCTGGGGGCAGGCTGTGCTCCCTGGAGGTCTGGGGAAGCGCCCCTCACCTGCATTCCTTGTCTCTGGGCCTCCCGCTCCCCTGCCACCTCTCTTCCCCCTCTGTCTCCCTTCCACCCAGACAAGCACTGGCGGGGATGCATTGGTTCTGCCTTGTCCTCCGACTTCCTCTCCCATCTCAGGATCTTGCCTCTTAGCCAATGAGGCAACAAATCCACAGCTTCTAGGATTAGGACCTGGGCATGTGTGGGAGCCGCCACCCCCTCTTTTACCAACGTGACAAGCGGGCTCTGGGCTGAGGGTATGAGACCCAGGGTGAACTGAGCTGGCCTCGGGGGCTGGGCAGATGCAGGTGCCACCTGAAGACACAGAGGAGGAGCCCAGGGTAGCTGCGGGCACGCTGCGCCTGGCGGTGCTGGCGAGGTGAGAATGCTGGGGATGGGCACCGCTGGGCCAGGCCCAGGCACACACAAGCTGAGCCCTGGGCAGGGCTGAGCCACGGGGCAGCACAGCTGCGCAGCCCCGCCCACAGGTCCCGGGTGGGTGGGGCCTCGGGTGTGATCTGAGAAGGGTTAGGGTCCTCCTCACCAGGACAGCAGGGGTGGGGGTTGGGGAGGTGGGGGCTTGGGCGGGGGGTGGGGCAGCTGTCGTCAGTCCTGCTGCAGGCTGTGGAAAGGCCATGTAAGCCCAGGACCGAGAAGATCCACCAGACTCCAGGATGCGGCAGGCATGGGTGCTTCCTGGCCGGTGCCGGCCCCTGCTGGATGGGGGTAGAGGGGTGGCTTGCAAAGCTGATCAGTCTCCCAGACAGACCAGACTGGAGTGTTCCTGCAGGAAAGGCCCTCGTCCCACGGGTGGGCCGATCGGCCTGTTCTGCTCTCAATCAGTACCCGAGAAGGAAGCAGGTTCAGGTCCAGGGCGGCTGCGGCCCCTGAGAACCTGCAGCGGGGGATGGGGTGGGCGGGTGCTGCCCAGTTCATAGATGTAGGAAAGGAACCTGTGGCCACAGCAGTCCTGATAGCAGTCAGCTCCAAATCCTACTGATCTGGGCAAGAGTAAGTGCAAGAGAGAGAGAGAGCGCAAAGAGGAAACGTCATCTTGTCGACCAGCCGTGTCCCACTAAGAAGGAGTCTTAAAATAATCTAGAAGTCAGCGTGGCAGCACGACCAAGGTTCACTGCGGCACTATTTATAACATGAAAGGCTTTTTTTTTTTTTTTACATTTTTCGTGTTTTTATTTATAGAAGGTGAACACAATTTCTTGTATTTTATAGATACAGATTTAGGGGCACAGGGATACTTTCTGTGCAACCCAAGGGCCGGCTGGCCAGTGACAGCACAGGGAACTGCTGAGGGGCGTGGCAGGCCCTGTGGGGTCCACCAGATGGAGTCCCGGGAATGGAGGCCATCTCACTTCCGTGAGTGATGCCGGCATTTTCCCGGCAACGAGGCTGCAAACCTCCACGTCAAATGGCCTTGATGATTGGGGGAACTGGGAATCGGGATGACTGTTTAAAATCCGTATGTTCAAATTTTACATCACTTAAATATCAACTAATAATTTGGTTTTCTGGAACATTTTTGAAGTAGTATAGGAAAGAATAAAAGGGTTAAAGTATTTGAGGCAGTTTCTGCAATTATTTAAAGCTCTGGTGAACAGTGCCTGATTCCACAGGGCCATCTTCCTAGGGAATGACAGGAGATGGCAGGGAGGAACAGGGTGTGCTCCTGCAGCATGGGGGGTGGGCTGTGACCCTGCAGCATGGGGGGGTGGGTGTGTCCCTGCAGCATGGGGGGTGGGTGTGTCCCTGTAGCATGGGGAGTGGACTCTGTTCCTGCAGCATGGGGGGGGGCTGTGTCCCTGCAGCATGGGGGGGGGCTGTGTCCCTGCAGCATGGGGGGGGAGTGGGCTGTGTCCCTGCAGCATGGGGGAGTGGACTCTGTTCCTGCAGCATGGGGGGGGGGCTGTGTCCCTGCAGCATGGGGGGGGCTGTGTCCCTGCAGCATGGGGGGGGCTGTGTCCCTGCAGCATGGGAGGGGGTGGGCTGTGTCCCTGCAGCATGGGGTGGGCTGTGTCCCTGCAGCATGGGGGGGTGGGGTGTGTCCCTGCAGCATGGGGGGTGGGGTGTGTCCCTGCAGCATGGGGGGGGGGCTGTGTCCCTGCAGCATGGGGTGGGCTGTGTCCCTGCAGCATGGAGGGGGGCTGTGTCCCTGCAGCATGGGGTGGGCTGTGTCCCTGCAGCATGGGGGGTGGGGTGTGTCCCTGCAGCATGGGGGGGTGGGTGTGTCCCTGCAGCATGG